GTATTTTAAGTCTACAATGTTACATAACGGGATGATTTCTATCTAGAATTTCGTATACTGTATCATGTTTAAAAACCGTATCACCGTGACGGAAATGCACGATATGATTATGCTTGAAGGATCGTAATGATGATGATGACGAGAACGACTTTGATAGATGACGATTATCATTATCACCCCCACCCCCATTTGCTGCCCATTGTAGAGGACACAACCATGGCTGGGCTGGGTGATCGCGCTGGGCGCTTTCCCGCACGCCCTACAACAGCGCACAATGGGCGGAAGGGTTCCACAAAAACGCCTCTCTGGCCTCCCGCCTCCCTCCTTCTGCAAGCCGCCTCGTGCGAGAACGATGATGGGGACAGGAGGGGGAGCGGTCTCATTAAAATCCCCGCTGCTGGCTACCTGGCGCGGCCAACGCGGTCAACCCGAGTGCCGTGCGGAGCCATTTCACTGCGCTTTGTCCACCGGCACCGGTGATGCCCTTCACGATTGTCCACCTAAAGAATTGTCCACGTAAAAAAAAATGTCCACCGAAACAACCGTCCACCTACATAATTGGCCACCCACGGCGTTCACCGATGAATGCTCCATCCATGCATCATCCCGGCGGTAACGCTCAAATCCACGCTGCGTCAACCACATCATTGGACTGGATGAGGAACCTTTGCATTAATTTATGACGATCATTAAGAAACATTTTAAACTGTTGCTCTTCACAGTGCCAAACGAAAGAAGAATTGGCCACCGACACAAAGGTCAAACCGACGTTGCTTACACTGTCAAGAGCGTGAAGCACAGCCTTTCATCAACACCACTGTCGAAGCGACATCGTCATCATTATCGTCATCATCTCACATTGCACACAGCACTTGGAATCCACCACCATCAGACACGAGTGCTCACAGCGCACAGACATGATTGATGGTGCTTCTGCGGCCATCTGGAACGCTCTTCCTTCTGACATGAGGAATCCACTGGAGCTATGCACTGTTAAATCTAGATCGGAAATTAATTTCTTTAGAACTACTTTTTGTGTTTAGATTGTCCTTCCCCCGCACCTCCGATCAACACGGTTGGCTACGTACAGTGCGAAAGAAGTTCAACATATATACATGATCGATCCACTGCTGGCTGAAGGCCTTGCCGAACCGCCGCCAAATCTCAGATCCTGCTATGTGTGACAAACCATCGAGCCACGTGAACATGAGAAATCCATCAAGGGGATCTCAAAGCTCCGGGCAGCCCCATCGCGAAAGGCTCCAGGCTCGGTCGCCGACTCTGCCGAGTTCCAACTTAGCCGAGTGTAAGGGATCCAGGATGCGCTGCACAACGGGCCCAAGTTAATGAGCAAGCGCGCGCCACGAGACCACGGGACACCGAGTTCACGGCGACCACATCAATCACACCCCACACCCCACCCACCACCCCCGCGTCTCTCCTCCTCGCTCCCCGCATCCTCTCGGCCCCCACTCAGGGGCTCTCGTGTTGCAACTGTGGACTCAGAACGCGGGAAGATGCTGGCGAGTGCGGCAGGGGACCTCGGGGTTATGGGCTTGGAAGCTGCGCTCCTCGCCACGAATAATTTAACAGAACCACGAGCGACCACAGCGCGCAGCATTCACGACTCGCCCTTGCTTATTTTCAGCGTTCGACCGCAAAGGGGGGGGGGGGTGAAATAAACTCAACACAATGGTCAGTAAAACTGCACAAAGAGGAGAGCATACAATATGGGCGACGTTTCGAGCAATGGGGGGGGGGGGGGGGGGGGTGACTAATTATGTTTGCATGGTAATATTAACTGTGATGAACAAGGCCCATTGCTCCAAACGTCGTCTCCCATTGCAGCGTGGCTCAGATGCCAAAGTTAACAAATTAAGGCAATCGGTAGAAGCTGGACGCAAGCGCGCCCTTCTGGGGCATGGCCAGTTGTGCTTGTATCCGAAGTGTGCTTGTATCAGATTACTCGATATAAAAAAAAATCAGCTTTCCATCGCTGGACAGATTCAGATCACGTCTTCTCAAAGAACAGTTTTACACACGGAGACCTCGCGGAGCAGCAGGGTGATGCAACGGGATACCTGGCCACCAGTGTGCGTTTGGCATGGACGAGAACACATGGGGATAGCTTTCAAAGGTGTCCCCAGATAAACAATTGGAGAATCCAATGTTGGGCCGTCATCTCCAGGCCACCTCAGTGCCATGTACTGCCTGGAGAGAGCCTTCTGGTCTCACTGGGTTCTTACCCGTTACCTACTCATGCAAGTTATATAGAGACAAAAATAAAAGTACAATGTCCACAAAGTTCAAAGGAGTGTTCAGTGGTTCCCCACTTTAGTTCGTTGACAGTGGTGTAAATGTCGCATTTCTATGGCAGGGACAAACATATCGATTGAATGACCACTGTTAACTAGAGTGCGCATTATTTATATCATAGCCCCGGTACATCCGGCTTAGATTTGTGGGATTAAAAACGCACGACTCCCACTCTAAGGCAATCTGTCCCTGAGCCATACGTACCCACGTGTACATGGAGTCCCCTTTGTCGTGTTTATCCGACCACGCGTCACCACGCTGGTCAGTGGCGACTGCTGAAGGCGGGCAGCACAGGCGTTGGAGCATAGTACAGTGCAATAATGTATTTTGGTTTGCAATGCCCTCTGACAACGTAGCACCCATGATGTTAGCAAGTGTGCGACGATGTCTGTGCTTGCCATTATCAAAATACGCACGCCCTCTTGTGGAGCTCAGTCACCTGACTTGTCATTTACAATTAACGAAGGCAGATCCTGACCGCATGCCAACTCCCACCTTGTAGAATTACACATTGCTGACCATTTATCACGCGAGTTAGCCTACACTTGAATCGGCGCGCGGTTTAAACCGGGTTCTCAAGTGTAGCGGCTTGCCCGTGCTTCCACAGCTCCAATATTCTGCTGTAAATTGTAAAGTCTACGGTTTCAAGTTCTCAGCTTCGACACTTCCTTCTTTCGTACGGGCTGCAGTAGATGCGGAACAACTACCATTTCACAGCCAGGTGGTCAAGCCAGATAACTGTGTCAGGAGTAGCGGAGTATATCGCCGTCATGTCTCCGTATTTGTGGATCGGGAATTGCGTCGTTATATGTTTTGCATGGTCTGTTCTTGATGACCATTGGAGAGTTTTTAAAATTTCCAGTTGTGCATCAGGTACCCGCATCTGCCACGGTGTGTGCGTGGACCGTGAGCTTCGTGGAAGATCAAACCCAGGGATCTTCAGCTTTGGGTCTTTCACAAGGTGTTTGTTTGCGAGTTATTTTGAACTCAATTCAGCTCTCCGAGCCTCATCAGGGGAGGGGGGGGGGTTGAACGGCTTCGACACTCAAATACCAAGAGTTCATAATCCGTAACAGCTGTCAATTCAACCACATGACTAAAGCGCCTGTGGCTTGCTTACTCAGCATTCCCAAAAGAGCAACAGCCGCACGGTTGACAAAGGCGACGGGGCAGGTGCTGGCGTCACTCTCCCTGGCCTGGCTTCCGTTTATTGCTCACAGAGGCACGACGACACATTCAAGTCAACGCCGGGCCGTCCCACGGACGAGGCAATTCTTCCGTCTCAAATGCAATCCTCAAGGCTCAAAGGACTATCATTACATTTTGGTTTCCCCTTTCATTTCAACTCCCATTTCGTCCTTATATTCTTATAGAATGGGAATTCTGACTTTTGCTGGAGTCGACGATAGGGCAGATAAACAGGCGTCGTTTATCCTTCATGGAATGCGTCTCTTTCCCCTTCCCCCCCCCCTCCTTGTTCTCTCACTCAACACCACTCTTTTTGTTTTCCCCTGGGGGGGTTCCACCATGATGTTGTGAACAATCCCAGGGTAACGGTACGTCTAACGAAAATCTGAAGGAACCATTCAGCATGTAACATTGTTCATTGTAAAGGCTTGTTACGCAACTTCTTGGTAAAAAAAAAATAAAGTAACGAAAAAAAACCTAATCCTAATTAAAATTGCATTGAATGAGCGATATGAAACCTTAAAAGGCTTCACCCTCCATCACCCAGTCACGTGGTGTTTGAATGCTCCACCGGTTGAGAACCCACTTGTGCTGCCATCTTCTGACCACCTAGAGGTGGAGTGCATTTAGCAGTTTCATACATCTCCAGGATCCACCATACATCTCCAGCATCCACCACACATCTCCAGGATCCACCATACATCTCCAGGATTTACCATACATCTCCAGGATCCACCATACATCTCCAGGATCCACATCTCCAGAATCCACCATACATCTCCAGGATCCACCACACATCTCCAGGATCCACAATACATCTCCAGGATCTACCATACATCTCCAGGATCTACCATACATCTCCAGGATCCACCACACATCTCCAGGATCCACCATACATCTCCAGGATCCACCATACATCTCCAGGATCTACCATACATCTCCAGGATCCACCATACATCTCCAAGATCCACCACACATCTCCAGGATCTACATCTCCAGGATCTACATATCCAGGATCCACCATACATCTCCAGGATCCACCATACATCTCCAGGATCCACCATACATCTCCAGGATCCACCATACATCTCCAGGATCCACCATACATCTCCAGGATCCACCATACATCTCCAGGATCCACCTACCCTTGCCTCCAAAAGTTCTGGGTTGCCGGCATGCGTCACCACATCCCTTGGCATGTCAAGTCATATTCCATCTAGAGAATCCACAATCCTGCAGCCCAGCATCAACTTGGTTGAGTTACAGAACGTACCGGGCTGCATAAAAGATACCTTCACATGCCAAGCAACGGTATCGTTTTGCATCTCTAGTTTGCATATCGCCACTGCTCGTCGACACTAAAGATGCCGTAACAAGGCCACTGGACTTCCGTCACGTCGAACCCTTAGTATGATCAGCAACATGACCTATGGTTGAACATGTAGACGTTGGAGATCAAATTCCCATCATGCTAAAGAAGGAGGCTGGAAATCGGGTAAAACATGCCTGCATTTATTTGCACACCAGACTTGCACTCATAACTTGAAAACAAAGGGCTGTTACGTCAAGTACACAGGGTTTGTTGTCGTGGTTGTGCATGAAATCAAGATGCAAGGTACAGGGCTTTTTAAGGGCTCTTCTCGGTATTTTAAACCCTCTAGAACAAATGTACCCACAGTACACAAGCTTAACCATCAATCAGACTGGGCAAAAGTCTGGAATGTTACAAAAGATAGTGCATTTAAACAGTATTTTATTGTGACGATTGTGTAGTCACTAACGTGGGTTTAAAAGAATACTCCTGATTCCCCTAAATGTGTTGCGGTTTAAGCAAAATGACATAATTAAGGCACTGATGATGTGGAATACCAGAACAATAACCATCATTGTGGTAACACATTGAAGGTTGTGCAGAATTTTAAAAAGGCATCGGGTATCTTCCCACACTCTCTCTCGAGGTGTATGCACAAAGAGTGAACAGTGAGACGTAGTATTAGCAAAGGGAAGACTTGAAATTACAAGTCCGACATGTGCCCCAACATAATCATAGCCATTGATCTTGTATTCCTCCAAATGCCCCCATTGTATCACTATGCTTACCAACCAAGGTGACCAAGGAAATAGGCTGAAATGTGGCAGAAGGCGTAAAAATAAAACATCCAAACATTCTTTCCGATGTATAGCCCCTCCTCCTTACCTCCTGCTTACCTCCTCACCCTCCCCTCCCCCACCTAACCCTGATCTCCTATCCACCCTACACGAGTCGTTGTGTTCTGAACTTCATTTTATCCTGGCATGTGAGGTGTCACTCCACTCGATAGCACTTTGGAGCACTCTGCAAGGGGAAAAGCCAAGCGCGCTTCCAAGGAAGACGGGCGCAAGCTCGGACACATCAGAGGCTTGGCCTTCTCCACTGTGGAATGATTTTGTTTGACCTCTCGTGGCAGTGCACGCCTTTCACGGCTTCACGCGCTAAGTGTACGCATGGACGGATCTCTCTCTCTTCAGGGTGAGTACGGCGACTGAATGCTACAAAACTCGTCACTGCAGGACAATGGTTGCTTCTCTTGTCTCGCAGCCATGTGTCAGGAAGTCCCCCCCCCACATGCCCCACCACCTGCTCCTCTTCATGCTGCAGCAGCACCTCCTCACTTCAACACGATGTGGTAGCCTTCATTGTTTTCAGCTGTGGAGAGACGCAACAGGAAGCCACCTCCGCAGCTATAAGTGTGTTCATGCAACGCACATGCATTTCCCGAGGCTGTAGAATTTCGTCCAACTTATTGGAAAATTGCTTTGCTCAAATCAATGCTGGTGAAAAGGCCTCCACTAGAGAGAGCCTGTCTAAAATGGTATTTGAAAGAGGCGGTTGTACCCACCTTACCACACACAGACCGCCAATAAAATGTGGTTGCACCCATTTATACTGATGGGTAGAGACAAAGGCAGGTGGGGTATAAGAAATGTTCCCTATTGCTTCAACCGTCGATGCCAGGAGAATGAACCAGCGGCCTAAGGACTGCAAGTTCAGTGCACCGACTCGGACACCACGGCATCATCTCTTACCCTTTACATACAATAGAAATTAAAATGCATCCAACTAGTACACATAACTTTTGATGCATCTATCACGAGCTTAAGAAGTGACTTGACTAGATCCATGGTTACAACCCCATACATGACCATGCACACACCATTTATTAAATAATACAAGACTGTAAAGCTTACCAACAAATGCTGATTAGACCATCCTTACCTTTCAGTGTGCTGATCACAAAACACGACTCTTCAGGAAAGTTGGCAATCATCTGTTTTAAAAAAAAGCAAATCATTTGATTAAAAAGGTTGACATCACCATCACAGTGACTTAGGGGCACCCTTGCTGACACCTATGCATCGGAAAGAACAACCAAAAGCTTTAACTGAAGTTGTCACTGAATATGCAAGCAAAGCTGTAATTAAAGCAGCTCAATGCAGCTGGAAAGTCAGGCTTTTGACAGGCGATGGTAAATAACACGATGACTAGAATAATGACAAATGACAGCGATCATGAAAGCCGATAATGAAGCATCGCGCATTGTAAGATATCCGCAAAAATGCTTCAATGAAATCTCAGTTCAAATGAAAAGGCCACGATACATGAGGAATATTTCAGGACAATTGTTGCTGGTAATCATCACCAGCAATAGTAGCTGCATCATTTTATATATTTCAAAAACGAGTTGCCCAAAATCCTCGTAGCAGGAAACAGTGATGGTGAATTCCAGTCAGATGAAAGTAATTGAGGTCACACGACTGCCCGAGGTTGCAGTTTGTAGCCCATAAACCGTTAAATCACACTTTGAACAAACTCGATTTTCATTGGCTATTAAGAACTCGTTAACTCTGCGCCATTGACATACCAAGTTGCCAAGGGTTCCTATAGTGAATGCATTTCTGTTGACAAATGCTGACAAAAAAAACCCCTTTAAAATTCACAAGTGGATCATGGTCTTTTTCAATTACGTGCAAAAAGCTTGTTGGAATCATCATCCCTATCTCATGCATTGGTACAGAATGACCGACTCGGTTGTTAAAGTGAGATATATTGAATTTCAATTTAAAGCTTTCGTGACTGCAAGGATTCATCTTCTTTGGTTCTTTCGGTAAAGTCACGTAGAATGAGAATAAAATAATAAATTGAAAAATAAAATAACACAATAATATTCTCACGACGTTTCGGCCACAACACAAGCGGCCTTCATCAGGTGAAGGGACGAGACTGTCTGGAGGACAGCGCTGGAGTGAAAAAGCCACGCTCAGATCCCGACCTTTAAGCTGTGTGAGAAGAAACAAAGCGCCTTGACAAAGGAATTAGCATTGAATTTAGCATTGAAATGGCTGAGTGATTAGCTTGTGACTGGTGACAGAAATGGCTATGTTAAAGTTAAAGCATACACATCCGCAGAGGCACCCCTTGACAAAGGAATTAGCATAAAAATTAGCATTGAAATAGCTAAGTTAAAGCATACACATCCGCAGAGGCACCCCTTGACAAAGGAATTAGCATAGAATTTAGCATTGAAATAGCTGAGTGATTAGCTTGTAACTGGTCACAGAAATAGCTATGTTAAAGTCAGAGCATACACATTCACAGAGGCACCTAGTACAAAAGATACACCCCTTCGTCCCATCGTCTCTACTATCAACTCCCCCACCTATAAACTGGCACGTTTTCTTGGTGATATACTGCGACCTTTCACTGGCAAAACCACCTCTGCGGTACTAAATTCTACTCACATGGTATCGACAATCAAGGGCATTTCCCTGTCCCCAGACGACCTGCTTGTCAGTTTTGATGTGGTGTCCTTGTTCACCAAAGTCCCGGTACCTGACACCATCGCTATCATTGAAGACCTGGTTCATCAAGGACTGCATACTGATGTCCCCCCCCCCTGGTGAGACATTGCTTAACCAACACATACTTCACCTGGAATGGAACTTTCTACAAACAAACTGAGGACACCCCAATGGGCTCCCCCCTATCTCCGGTTGTAGCCAACGTATTCATGGAAAAATTTGAAACTGACACCATCCAGACTGCCACTCTACGCCCGACCTTATGGAAGAGGTACGTGGATGACACCTTTGTCATCTGGCCACATGGCCAGCCTGCTCTAGACCAATTCCGCAACCACATCAATTCCATACACCCAGCCATCAGATTTACCATGGAGGTCGAGAAAGATGGCAAACTACCCTTTTTGGATGTCTTAATTAAAAGGAGACATGATGGTTCAATGAGCCACTCTGTCTACAGGAAAGCTAGCCATACAGATGCTTACTTGAAACCGGATTCCCACCACCATCCATCCCAGAAGAATTCCCTCATCAAGACTCTATACCATAGAGCCCAATGCATTTCCAACCAGGAACACATTACCAGTGAACTCAAACACGTACACCAGGCTCTCAGGGCTAATGGTTACTCCGACTACACAATCCGCAAAGCCATCACTCCAGTCATGAAGAAGGATCCTCTTGTGGAGCCACTCAAAACCATCACCTTATCCTACATTGCAGGGGTCACTAAAAAGATCTCCAAAATCCTGAATAAACACAAGATCCAGGTCCAATTCAACACAGTACATAAAATCCGTGATCTAGTTCCATCTGTAAAAGATGCTGTTCCAGACATACAGTACCCGGGCGTTTACTAACTAAAGTGCCTCTGTGGTAGTAGCTACATTGGAGAAACCAAACGACATATCTCGGACCGCATCCGCGAACATAAAGCAGACTTGAAACACGGTAGAACGAACTCCTCTGCCGTGGCAGATCACTGTTATAATTCAGTGGGCTCACATGACATTGACTTCTCCAAGACGGAGGTTCTTTGCAAACCAACCGGCTACCATGAGAGATTCGTTCATGAGGCCATTCACATATACAAGCACAGAGACAATTTCAACCGAGAAGATGGATTCTGGCTTAGTAACCATTGGAATTTTTTTTTTAACCATTTCCGTTCTTAATTAATTGTATTTTACGATGACCTTCAGACCGCAGCTCTTTCGCTGGCATTGACTCTTAATACCTCTAACACCACGGTTAATGGTATGGTTTACAACATGGAGTATAACAGCACCTCGCAGCTGTCTCTCTCCCCCTCCTCTGTTCCGACCATGGATGAACTCGTCCGTCTGAACGGGGCCCGTAGCTATCCGTGTTGCTAAAGTTGAGGGAAAGAATCCACCCATTTTTTCGCCATATAGCATTGTGATATATAACGACTTATTGTTGGTAGCTTAGCTGATTGGAGAATATATAGAGTTTATTGATAACATTGAGGTAATTTATATTTTAGTTTTTTATTGTTTTTTATTGGTTCACTATATAGTATTCATTATATATTGTAGTGTATACCCAGTTACTGTGAATAGCTCAGATGTGTAGGCCTTGACTTCAACATAGCCATTTCTGTGACCAGTCACAAGCTAATCACTCAGTTATTTCAATGCTAAATTTGCCTACTTATTTCAATGCTAAATTCTCCTGTTTGATTTGTACTAGGTGCCTCTGTGAATGTGTATGCTCTGACTTTAACATAGCTATTTCTGTGACCAGTTACAAGCTAATCACTCAGCTATTTCAATGCTAAATTCTATGCTAATTCCTTTGTCAAGGGGTGCCTCTGCGGATGTGTATGCTTTAACTTTAACATAGCCATTTCTGTGACCAGTCACAAGCTAATCACTCAGCCATTTCAATGCTAAATTCAATGCTAATTCCTTTGTCAAGGCGCTTTGTTTCTTCTCACACAGCTTAAAGGTCGCGATCTGAGCGTGGCTTTTTCACTCCAGCGCTGTCCTCCAGACAGTCTCATCCCTTCACCTGATGAAGGCCGCTTGTGTTGTGGCCGAAACGTCGTGAGAATATTATTGTGTTATTTTATTTTATCAATTTATTATTTTATTCTCATTCTACGTGACTTTACTGAAAGAACCAAAGAAGATGAGATATATTGATCGCTATAGTCATGAAAATTGTGCATAAGAATCGCATAAATGCGAACAGAACAGTTGAGGCAGAACAAGACGTAAAAAAACTAACTCGTACAAACAAATTATTCGTAAAAATAATCTTTTTTTTTAATTGCCACGATTATTCAAATTGTAAACCAATCATGTGAAAGGGCTCCTACAAAGCAGGAGTTAAACCTCGGTGGCCCAATGTGTGTTTAAAACGGTGTGCGTTTTTAACAGCGACTGCAACGCTGTACTCAGCTGACAGCTTCACCGCCATAGCAGACATTTGTCAGGTATCTCACCTCGTCGCTGACGATGACGTGGATGCCTGTGGGCCCCTGCCGGTAGATCTGGCTAATCTGGTGCGGGGAAATGTTGAAGAGCTGGGCAATTTTCTCCGACAGTTCCATCGCTGTCAACTCATCCAGGTATATTGCATGGTACACTGTGTGGAGAGCCACAGGGGAGAAACACGCAGCTCAACCCAATTCCAAACCATGCAGACTCCGCTCTCTCCCTTTAATGTAGCGTACTAATCGCAGGGTTACATTGGACATTAATTAGCAAGCAAAATCAGCCGGTGGTTCTACTTACGTTGACTGGTCCGTGGTATGGTAAGAGACCAGTTTTGCTTACCTTGCTGGGATTCTTGGCAGACATAGATGGTCATCCGAGGTCTTACAGCTCTGCAACACGAATCAACATACAAATGAGAAAAGTCTATGTCTGTCCCATGCATAAATGCAACTAAATTGTACTGAACCTAAAATAATGCGATCTCTAAGAGATGCAGCAGTGATTTATAGACAAATAATTGAGGGTAGTCCTGGAAAAAAATAGGATCATCCACAAAATCTCATCGTTGTCCAGGAAGGGTAGGATATGGTTGAGAGCATGCAGATTATAAGCACTCAATGCAGTTGGCTAAACATTCCAATATAGGGCGACAAAAATTGGGCAATTGTTGGCACAGCTTCTGGCTGCCTTTGCAATTGTCTGTGGTTTCCCGCACCTGTGTACATTTTAAAATCATGGATTTATTTTATTTCTTTATGGATAAAACAGTAAATTACTAAGTTAACTGTGCAAAAACCTAAGTGGATACAATACAATATAAACTATCAAAAGTGGATTACAACGGGTTACATTTGAAAAATATATGTGGCTCATCAACTTTTTCCAGGACACCCCTCAATTATGCACAGGAGAGAGTGGTGTGACAGTGGTTAGCATCCTGCACCACGAACGTGGTGACCTGAATGCGATTCCCGACTGCTGCTGACGTCAGCGGCAAGTGATATCGGATCAAGTCCTGGGTTGCGCTGAACAGGGTAGTGAGGTACGATCAAACAACCTCCACGATCAACATGGTGCGAGAGAGGCAATCATCCAGCAGCAGATAGAAAAAGAGCTGTAAATTGCTTTTTTATTATTTTCAAGCTCCAACGTGAATGGATGACAGTGACGAGTCCAGTGGAATGCCACTCTGCACACTCACTTTCCCTTGAGCGCGTTGAATAACCGAATCCCGTCTGCGGCTCCGCATATCTGAATAAGGTCATCACGCGTCAGCTTCAACAAGTCGGCCCCTGGGCAAGACAAGAGACAAGCAACGCTCAACTTGTTCACGTCCGGAAAACAATACAGCTTGGGGTGATGCCACAACCGTGACTGCCTGTCTCTTCACCTGAAGAAGGCTACTTGTGTTGTGGCCGAAACGTCGTGAGAATTTTATTGTCTTATTTTTGTTTTATTCTCATTCTACGTGACTTTACCGAAAGAACCAAGAAGAATAATGTAACGATCGAAAAAACGTCGACCATTCACAAAAATAAATCACTTGGTAAGTCATAACCACAGCCCGAAGCGCGCAAATCTCGACGCTTGGACATGGTTCTTCTTGGACAGGATTAATGAGCAGGCTTCTTCTAAGTCACCGTACACAGCTAGGTCTACCCTTTTGAAATGGCAAGCAATGCGTCGATAGTATGTATGTTGAACTTCTTTCACACCGTACGTAGCAAACCGTGCTAATCGGAGGAGTGGGGGAAGGACAACAAAGTAAACACAAAAAGCAGTTCTTAAGAAATGAGTCCTCAATCTAGATTTAAATCTGGCAGTGGCTGCACACCCACTCACCGGAGAAGTTGCTCAGGAGCCTGCTGAACTGAGAAAATCGGTTCTGTAGCAGCCACTGGCTCGTCTCCTTAATTGTGGCATTGAACAACAGCCGCTGGGAAGAGCTGCATGGCTGAATGGGGAGCAGGAGGTGAGTGAGAGTGAATCAGTGTGGAGAGCAAATTAAAGGCATGGCAGCAATAAATAGAGATGTAGCAGCCCAGTGAGAGAAATCAATGAGACACATCAGGGCAAAAGCACTGTTCTCCAACAATGTCAAATATTAGGCTGTGACAAAGTGCTGTTATGAGTGTAAAATACAAATTAACATTCCAATTTTAGAAAAACCTAACAAAGTGACAAAAACACATTGTACCTAAAGACAAAATAAAAAAAATGCATTCATTATTTATTTATCCAACAAAAACTTGCCGAGTCTTTGGACATTTTCCAAGATAGTCCTACATTGGCATTTTCGGTATTTTATATTGTGGGATAAAATCAGAATGCCCAAATGAAACCAGCCACACACATGCCAGAATAACACTCAAATGTGTGCAGCAAGTTGACGAACCAGAATTCTGTACTAGAGACTCCTGGCCATCTTGTGATGAAGCGGGATTTGGGAGTTTCAGACATCTATGTGAGCCACGAACCCGTGCATCCAAAGCGGTGGATAACCAGGCGTGGGCTGCCACACGTGCACGATCATGAAATGTTTTCACATCAGTATAAAGCAGCACAAGGATCTCTTCATACACTTACATCCACGAGAGGAGGAGGGACAACCAACACTTGTTCCACTTGGTGCGTCGGTGAAGGCGAGTTACTAAGAGGAAACAAGCCCAACGGAACAATCAACACATACACTCTCCATAACACAACAGTGTAAGCCAACAGTCTTTGTAAACCATCTGGCTACCATGAGAGATTCGTTCATGAGGGCTATCCACATATACAAGCACAGAGACAATTTCAACTGAGAAGATGGATTCTGGCTTAGCAATCATTGGAAAGATTTGATAAACCATTTCAGGTCTTAATTGATTGTTCACGCTTACAGTGGCTTTCAGACAGCATAAATTAATTTTTCGCCTCCCCCCTCCTCTTTTCAGAACATAGATGGACTAGTCCTTCTAAATAAACTGCCAAATCGCTGCGCGTGGCGCTGACGTTTTTAAAAAATAAATAAATACACCGCTTAAAAATAAATAAATTAATGCAAACCAACACACCTGATGACGACCGTTTGTGTTATGGTCGAAACGTCGTGAGAATTTTTTATTGTTTTATATATATTTTATTATTTTATTGTTTCCCTTCAACGTGACTTTACTGAAAGAGCTAAGAATATAACACAACAGTGCTCAAGATATTTGAAAATATTCGCAAGGTAAGCATAATATGACGTCAAAGGAAACTAGAATACTTCTGCAATGGGTCAGACAAGGTGGGGTGATCATACTTTACTCGTGGTCAGTGTGGCAAGGCAGCCACCCAATTTATAGCCTGTTCGGTCTTAATGGCTACAATAACTAAAGTAATGAAATGCTACACGATAATATTGTGCTTAACGTCATGTCATTTGGTTTAACATGTAGGCTTTCGCGACTAATATTATTCAAAATAAAGGTTTTTGGGTTAGATCGCGTGAGTAAAATGTGTCGTAACCCTCCACCACCACCCAACGCAGCCAGAAAGGTTTGTCACGTAAACAACGCGCCAATTAGTTACTACTTCAGCCCACCGGTGTTTTGGAGAGTAAATCCACAACATTTACAATTTTAATACGATGTTTCACTGGTAATTATATCCAGCATCATCAGACAATTATCGTGTAGCATTTGGCATGGTCATGCACAAGTCCACGATGGATGGAGATGATGTGGGGATGCCTTCATCCAGTCGAGAGTACATCGCGCCCAATGATGACCACCAATGTAAAAGTGGCTTAAACTCCCAAATAATCCAAATATATTGAACCTCGTTATTATCTCCCTGTTAATTGGACAAAACAATGGCAGATGATGATGGAGAATAAGCAGAGCTGAACTGTGTAATACAGAACATCACCTTTCTTTGCCTTTACAGCTGCAGTACACAAATACACAAGGGGATAGATGAGTTTGAAAGGGACTAAAAGCTGAGGAAAGCAAGCAGGGAGGGGAGAACCAGGATGAAGAGGAGAACTAGGACGAGGAAGAGCACGCAGTGAGAGGGGAAAGCTCCAGGTAAAAAAAAGGAGCGAGTCGAGATGAGGCTGCAGCGAGCTAGACAGGGAAAAGAGGATCACTGGGTTGGGGAAGGAAAAGTTGAGATGGGGCAAGGGTGGGGGGTCTTATAGGAGACTGGCAGCGGGGAAGGATGCAGCGAGTGGGTTCCTTACCTCTCCGTGACCGAGAAGGTGGTGGAGTGGGCGGGCGTGAAGGCTGGTGTGTCTGTCGGGCTAGAGCTGACGTAGCAGTTGTCAGGCCACGGCGAACACTGCACAGCAGATTCGCGTATTTAATTTCAATGCAATAAAATATAATTTTTACTCCATAATATACTACTGTGCAAATGTTAATAAATTGATCGGACTCAGTAAAAATTAATTGTAAAGAAATTGCTTAAGTTGTGGTAATTATATGAATACAACAAATTTTTCAAGTCATTTTGTCATACTAAGGAAAGACTGGTTCCTGCCATACAACTATGGTATTTCTACCACAGGCTTAGTACTGTCAGCAAAGATGGACGTCTCTATTGCTGATTGAGCAAGATAATACTAACTTGACACAATAACGAGGTAGCATAAAACACCGCTCTTATTGGGATTCATGAATTGGTGAATGAAACTGCACTGAATAGTGGTGCTATGAATCAGTCCTGGAGATGACTCGAGGCACGCAAAAAACTCTGATGACACTGCAGTTACCTCCGCCAGGATGGTCGTATCGTAGGAGGGCTGGTATTTCTCCTTCTCGGGCGGGTTGCGTTTGTCCATCTTCTCTCTGTCCGTCTTTTGCTTTCGGTCTGCGCCTTTAGGCTACAAACAACACAACAGCAGTGGGCATTCAACAGTGTCCATTTGTTAATCATAATGTACTTTGACAGCTGAAACAAACCAAGCAGAGAATTTCGGTCTGAAAAAAATCTTTCAAAGAATAGAATAATTTTTTTTTTATCTTTCATGCCGAGTCTCCACGACTATTATGAACGAGGCATTCATCATCATTTACTGTTTATATTGCACCTCATGAAGTACACAGAAGTATTTGAGACAAGTGTCAAGTATGAAAATTACTGCAGATCAAATAAAGCCCAGCACCAGCCCAGAATCTTGGCCATGTTCCGATGCAGCATGGGGATTTGTGGACTTTACCCCTCCCACACTCCCTCTCCACCCGACCTTCTGCAGTGATTAGCATATCCATTGGTTAGATTAAACTATTTCAACCCCAAATAGTTTTAAGAATTTTATGAAGTGTGGTTTTTAGTGCCAAGGTGGCTTGGAAGTTCATCTGGGAGTCGCATCACAGTACATCTTGCTTCCACATTGACCATGTGACATCACGACTGGTTCTGAGGTCAACCAAGCTACAAACGTGCAACATGGGTAAAGCAGGGAACTCAGAGGCCAGAGTCTGCAATATAAAGTTTAGGCAGGCTGAGCTGCTGTGGGGGTCAAGAGCTCTTGGAGCCCGTCCTGGAGTGAGCATCGTGTCTGCACTCTTTCCTCCAGCTGTGGAAAACTAGGCATTAAAGTGCCAACGTGGCAACTGCTGGCATATCGCAGCAGTCTCTGGTGTACATACCTTGAACACTTTGACCTGGCAGCTGGCCGAGTGTAGGTGCTCCGTGTACTCCGCGTGTTCGTTCTGCTTGAAGGTGTCGAGCTGAATCCGGAATGGGACGCCTTTCTCCCCGCCGTGCTTGCGGGGGGTAAACTCCGTACTAATGCAGTGAACCTGGCACCGACACATTTAAACATTTAATCGCTCCCCTACACGCCAAATCCAGCATGCTCCAATGAGACGTTTGCAGGAAATTTCTACAGCACGTGGGTGAATGAATCACTGCAAATGTGCATGAGCTGTCCTATCCAATGCTGCAGATTTTTCACAAAAGCTGCACTCTTAATATTTACTCTTTGGTTCTTTCGGTAAAGTCACGTAGGTAGAAAAATAAAATAAAACAAAAAATAATATATCACGACGTTTCCATCACAACACAAGCGATCGTCCTCAGGCGGAAAAAAATAATCCAGCAGTGGAACTGCTGAACCAGCAAATAATCCAGTAGCAGTTCTACTGCTGCTGGATTATTTTTTACGCCTGAGGACGACCGCTTGTGTTGCAGTCGAAACGTCGTGATATATATTATTTGTTTCATTTTATATTTCTGCCTACGTGACTTTACCGAAAGAATAAAAGAGTATGGATTCCTGCAGTCACGAAAGCTTCAAATCACCCTTATTCTTGTCAAACTATTTAGCTCATCCAACTACAGGCAGTCCCCGGGTGACGGAAGACCCGACTTACGGAAATCCGACTTTACAGAAATGCTCCCATAAACCATGTCAAAATAAAGTGCAAATAGTGCAGCGCGGTGAGGTTGCGGATGAATCCCGCGGAGCGAGCGCTAAGGCAGGCCGCCTTACATGAGGCGTAAGCCCCACCGTCCACCGCCTTCACCAAACCAGAGCTTCACTAGGATTAAGGAAAATGGAATTCATCTTCTTTGGTTCTTTCGGTAAAGTCACGTAGAATGAGAATAAAATAATAAATTGATAAAATAAAAAAAACACAATAATATTCTCAAGACGTTTCGGCCACAACACAAGCGGCCTTCATCAGGTGAAGGGAGATACTCCAGCGCTGTCCTCCAGACAGTCTCGTCCCTTCACCAGATGAAGGCCGCTTGTGTTGTGGCCGAAACGTCGTGAGAATATTATTGTGTTATTTTATTTTATCAATTTATTATTTGATTCTCATTCTACGTGACTTTACCGAAAGAACCAAAGAAGATGAATCCTTGCAGTCACGAAAGCTTTAAATCGAAAATGGAATTGTTCGTAGTGTTACGTAATTATTTGCTTATTGTAACATGACATCGTTGTCTTCTGTACAGTACGTACGATGTGTGTTTGTGTGTGTGTGTGGGGAGCGGTAGTGTAGTGGTTAGCGCGCTGTATTATGAACCTGGCGACCCGGGTTACATTCCCGCTCACGGCCAACACCAGTGACGATTATCTGAACCGGTCCTGGGCATCCCCTAGGTCGACGCAGCCTCAAATGAGTACCTTGTGCGGTGGATAAAAACATTGCCACTGGGGAGACTAAGGCGGTCGGGCGTGGTGCTGGCCACCCACTCCCTTGTGTACCGTTCCGGCCTTCATAGGTGCTCGCTAACAGCACTTGCCCCTACAGTTTGTTAAGGCTATACGGGGGATCCTTGTCTTTAATCTTTGTGTAGACAAGCCTACTCCACCTTTGTGTGTGTACAGTGAGGGAAAAAAGTATTTGAACCCCTGCTGATTTTGTACGTTTGCCCACCGACAAAGAAATGATCAGTCGATAATTTTAATGGTAGGTTTATTTGAACAGTGACAGAATAACAACAACAAAATCCAGAAAAACGCATGTAAAAAATGTTATAAATTGAATTGCATTTTAATGAGGGAAATAAGTATTTGACCCCTCTGCAAAACATGACTTAGCACTTGGTGGCAAAACCCTTGTTGGCAATCAGAGGTCAGACGTTTGTTGTAGTTGGCCACCAGGTTTGCACACATCTCAGGAGGGATTTTGTCCCACTCCTCTTTGCAGATCTTCTCCAAGTCATTAAGGTTTAAAGGCTGACGTTTGGCAACTCGAACCTTCAGCTCCCTCCACAGATTTTCTATGGGATAAAGGTCTGGAGACTGGCTAGGCCACTCCAGGACCTTAATGTGCTTCTTCTTGAGCCACTCCATTGTTGCCTTGACCGTGTGTTTTGGGTCATTGTCATGCTGGAATACCCATCCACGACCCATTTTTAATGCCCTGGCTGAGGGAAGGAGGTTCTCACCCAAGATTTGACGGTACATGGCCCCTTCCATCGTCCCTTTGATACGGTGAAGTTGTCCTGTCCCCTTAGCAGAAAAACACTCCGAAAGCATGTTTCCACCTCCATGTTTGACGGTGGGGATGGTGTTCTTGGGGTCATAGGCAGCATTCCTCCCCCTCCAAACACGGCGAGTTGAGTTGATGCCAAAGAGCTCCATTTTGGTCTCATCTGACCACAACACTTTCACCCAGTTGTCCTCTGAATCATTCAGATGTTCATTGGCAAACTTCAGACGGGCATGTATATGTGCTTTCTTGAGCAGGGGGACCTTGTGGGCGCTGCAGGATTTCAGTCCTTCACGGTGTAGTGTGTTACCAATTGTTTTCTTGGTGACTATGGTCCCAGCTGCCTTGAGATCATTGACAAGATCCTCCCGTGTAGTTCTGGGCTGATTCCTCACTGTTCTCATGATCATTGCAACTCCACGAGGCGAGATCTTGCATGGAGCCCCAGGCCGAGGGAGATTGGCAGTTCTTTTGTGTTTCTTCCATTTGCGAAAAATCGCACCAACTGTTGTCACCTTCTCACCAAGCTGCTTGGTAATGGTCTTGTAGCCCATTCCAGCCTTGTGTAGGTTTACAATCTTGTCCCTGACATCCTTGGAGAGCTCTTTCGTCTTGGCCATGGTGGAGAGATTGGAATCTGATTGATTGATTCTGTGGACAGGTGTCTTTTATACAGGTAACAAGCTGAGATTAGGAGCACCCCCTTTAAGAGTGTGCTCCTAATCTCAGCTCGTTACCTGTATAAAAGACACCTGGGAGCCAGAAATCTCTCCGATTGAGAGGGGGTCAAATACTTATTTTCATCATTAAAATGCAAATCAATGTATAACATTTTTGGCGTGCGTTTTTCTGGATTTTGTTGTTGTTATTCTGTCTTTCATTGTTCAAATAAACCCACCATTAAAATTATAGACTGATCATTTCTTTGTCAGTGGGCAAACATACAAAATCAGCAGGGGATCAAACACTTTTTTCCCTCACTGTACGTGTGCATGTATGTATGTATGTGAAGTCTAGGCCTAGCCGAATGCATGGTAAACATTCGGAAGTGACTGCTTTCTGTTCCATTAGTTGAATTATGGGTAGTGTTAGGGTATATATTCGATGAAATGAAAGAATCATAGAAAGTGCAGAGCACATGTACAGCAATGGGATACGATACAGGTCGCGATAGAAAACGGACGACAGGACGAGGAAACGGTAGGGGAGGCACAACTATTTCCGGCTATGGGATTTTATCTTCATATTAGGGGAAAATTGTTCCGTTTCCATCATCGAGAAAATTCGGGTTACGGATATTTCTCGGAAACCTAACCCTTCCGTAACCCAGGGACTGCCTGCAAGTTAATTGATATAATGATAAATTCCAGTCAACTGTTTTGCTGTTCACAATGCACCTGGTCTTTTGAATCAAATTTTGCATTTGTCATAAGCTTCACACCACATGTGCAGCATGTGCGCTGTCAGACAGTGATTACAGGACAGAGTGGAAATAGTGCATAAATAAATACATCCATGCAAGGCCACCAATTTAAGCAGTGGAAGAAAATTTTGCATCATCAAAACAGAAGGGTTTTGCACGGGCCCCCTTCAGTTGTACACCAATCCTCCAGCCAGTGTTTACCTAACCCGCAGCAAACACGGAAATTTGCTTTCGCTAAGCAAGCAGTGCACGTCATACCTGAATGAAAGCCGACGTGCGTTTGGAGGGCTCCCAAAGGAACTCGATGGTGTTCAGCTGGGAGGGGTTTGTCCGCGGGTCAATGATGCCCACTGACAGCGGGACGTCTGCACGCAGTGTCCACCCCACATGGCGCAAACGCATAAGCTCCCTCATGAAGCACACAAGATGGTCGCACATTCGTTTTATGTAATAAAGCAAGTGGCTTTATCCTGCAGATTTCTGTCACAGTTGCCAGGTTTCCAATTCACTTTGTTGTTGACATTAGAACTATTTTTTTGGGGGGGGTTAAATCAACAGAATGGATAAAAATGTATATACATCCTTCGAAAAAAAGATACTAGCCATACTACCCTACCCATACTACCCGTAACCAGAATAACATGTACGCATCATTTATATATACTTTAATAAGCGCATTTATTATGCAATTAATAACAATTAAATAAGCTACACATAAGACATTCCATCCAATAAGATAGACCTACATATGCAGCTCAGCGTGGAATTAATCACAAATGAAAATATTAAACATTTACCCGTTTATAGAACATCAATATTTCATACTGCCTTCTGACTAATTCCCCTTTGATGAGTGTCCTAAAAAAACACGTAATAGCCCACATATACTATAGGAATAGGTTTTACCCTTTTAACTGGCACAAAAACTGACACCTTTATTCAAGGCATCATGTTTGCAATAACCACAACACAAGCAGTCAAAATGCAAACAAAAAAGACAACTCTGATAATATGCACTGTCCTTGAATTTGATTGGTCCACACCCGAGACAGCTTTTCTTCGAGCCTAGTCTCCATTGGTGTTGGACCAGAAGACGCCAAAAGGCGTACAACTCAAAAACAGCGCACTATCAGAGTATTGAGGGCTCGGGGTGAGCATTTACATTATGAGACCTCCTTTGCCAGAAACAAGATATAGGATAAGGTTTTACCCTTTTAACTGGCACAAAAACTGACACCTTTATTCAAGGCATCATTATCAGAGTTGTCTTTTTTGTTTGCATTTTGACTGCTTGTGTTGTGGTTATTGCAAACATGATGCCTTGAATAAAGGTGTCAGTTTTTTTGTGCCAGTTAAAAAGGGTAAAACCTATTCCTATATCTTGTTTCTGGCAAAGGAGGTCTCATAATGAAAAAACCCACATATACTGTTAAGATAACCCATGATAGCTTCACTCCAACCATTTACAAACCACCTTTGACAGTTTCCACTGTTTAATTTCCCCACAGACGACCACACAAGGAACTTAACAATTCACTTTTTTCATCCATTTCATCTGACAACTGCCAATAGAAGCCTACATTGTGACCATGCCATGTTGTGGATTATCAAGTTATTCCAGGATACCCCGCAATCACTAAGATTATAGGAATAGACATATAAAACAAATATACAACATGCATCAGCTAATTAACAATGAACAGAGGACACAATTTGATCTACTGGTAGATGGTGAAGCTTGGTCAATGCAATCTATAAAGTGTGTTTCTTTTTACACTTAAGCGCCTGTTTTTTTTACAGACATGGAAAAGTATTTTACAAGAGTGTAATGTGTCTATTATTTGTTACAGGAAAGTACTCTGTGTTCTATCCATGTGAAGTAAATTTCTCACACGTTAACAATAAAACTGTAAAAAGGTATTTTACAGTGAAAATAACTTTCAGCTGCAATGCCAACAAAATTCATGCAATAGACTTTTTTTACTATGATGCATTGATTGAAATATATTCTTAAGCTGCAAATAGCTACTTCAATTGTACATCCCAGAATCAATAACTTACAATGTATGTAATCTATCGGCAAATTATATGCTAATTTTACAATCAGGCTTAAGGCGCAAACCAAAAAGTATAAACGAGATGAAACAATTCTAAATGCAAATGAGATATTCAACATGAGACAATATTTTGAATCAGACTGTGATCTAGGATGATAGTTCGGGACATTTCTGAGGGGTGTAATCGTTATGCCTACTTTTTAAAGTGTGGTCCCAAAAGGCCAGCCTGGAAGGGCTCAAGGATGAATTAAAATTGTATGTGGGCAGTTAATTTGTCCATTCACTACTGGATGAGGGCCTCCCCATGCCGTGCTGATCGCAAAATTATTTTAGAATATTTGCAGTCACTACTGGTAAGTGCTAGTGCCATGACCTACTCTGGCATTAAAGTCACCAAAATAAGATGACTCAATCCATGATGCTAATTTTAGAAAACAACAGGGACACAGTCTAAGAAGCCATATGACACATCAGCATTGTCTGGACCCCTCCACTGATGTTCATCTTTGGTGGGGGTGTAAACCACCACTCAACATAATTTCTTGCTTCTGATCATGTGGAAGCAATCCCACAATATTCTTTGGGTCTTTCGGTAAAGTCACGTAGATAGGTTCAAAGAAAATAACATTATTTTGTCTGCAGGAATATGAATTCCTGCAGTCACGAAAGCTTTAAGTCAAAATCCCACAATAGCTTGGTACTTAGGGCTTTCCAAATCTCACTGTCATACTCCCACACCTTAATTATTTTATTCAAAAGAGCCACTCCCAGTCTGTTTTACAGTAACCTGGGCCAAGTCGAGGACTATCCATCCACAATCAGTCCACAAGACCTGCGTTCAAGAGGTTCAGGTGATACCAGTCCACATTCTAAGAGACGAATGGAAGCTTCTATTCTCCCAAGCTCCAGCAAGCGGTCAGATATGTCATGTGGCCAGCCACAGTGATCTGTTTTTTTGGAGGAACCCCGAGTCAGGAGGTTCATTAACCTGGCTACACCATATGGACAGAAGATGTCAGAGATGCCTCTCCTCTTGGGACCTCCAGTACAATCTTTACGTTTTCTCCTTGTTTTTTGATAAAGGCGGAGAAGTTTCCAGCTCTATAGGCCAGTGGTAGCACTCAGCACACCATGGGAATAAATAGCGATAAGCATTGGCCTTTCATCCGTTTAACTGGAAGGCATGAGCCAGTTCAGCTCAATAACAATTGTAATAGGCTAATAAGACTTACGTGCAGCCCATGGGCCCCTATAAACGTACATGCTGTTCCGACTTTGGTGCATCCAGACAACATTATGAGTGCATGCCACGTCTAAGAAAAAAATTCTGCTGGACGATTTACTCATGAAACAGCAAATGTGGGCTCATGTCCTTGCCACCAGGACATACCATGGAGGTTACCTGGCAACTAATCATTAGCTTGTCATCATAAGATGCACCTGCCAAGCTTCCACTGCAGTGGAGGGAACCCACCGAGGACCCCATTTAAACCTAAAATAACCTGGTCTCAGTTGGATTATGAAAGTTGCAAGTTAATTTTTATCACTGATTCCAGTTGGGGTTGGCAACGTTCTTCCCCTCTTATCTATGCTTGTGAAACATGGACCCCTTTTAGGAAAACATGTACTTGCTTTAAACATTCAGGCTGGCCTACCTATGATTCATCCTGGGTTCAACCAAACAATATTTTGAGAAAATTACAGATCCTTGAGCTCCTCCGGCAAGCTATTCTGCGTTGGCTGGATCATGCAGCCGCATGCCCAGCCACCGCAGCATAGAGGGAGATAAATGGCTATGGCACAGGCTAGAAAAGAGATGGGCTTATGTGGTATGGGGAGATTTGGAGCTGATTGGACTTGCCAATGACTACGAGTTGTGTCAAGCTCGACTTGTGGAGGAGGTTCACGAAGGACGCTTATAGGCAGTTGGAGGCAAGTCACCCTCCAACAACAACAAAGAGAAAAGGAACAAAGCTTCAAAGAGCAGTGCTGGGTGGCTAAAGCACAGAAAGTTGGCAGAGTGGGGAGCACAGGTGAAGCACACAGGTGGCGCATCTGCCAGCCATCTCAGTCAAGTCAACCTATGACTTGGCATAGAGCCTCCAACACTTCACATGGCCTCAAAGTGCATCTAGCTTTGCACAGGCGCTATTCTGACATCACTGCCACAGTGGAAAATGGTGGCTGTTGTTGTTGCTGTGAATTTGGGTTGAAGGCAGGGAGCACAGACCGTCAAACAATTTCCATTGTTATTATGTTATTAACGTGTAATTCTTTCCAATCACAATGTGGTTTTCATTTCAGTTATCAATACTCCTGAAATTGTCAATGTAGAATTGACCCTAGGTTTGCGCTCGTTCTCACCGAGGTCAAGCAGGCGGTCTCCTGGACGGCTCCACTTCCAGCCCTCAAGCTGCTGGTGCTCCATGTATTGCAGTCTTCGGTCATGGAAGACCACGCGGATTATGCTCTGTTCAGTCACGGTACCAACAAGGTTACAAATGCGTACATACACGCACATGCACCAACACATGCAACATTTTAAAGCAAGGCGTTGTGCAATGTTATGCCAACTAGAATCAAACAATCAATGTTGATTTCAGAACTTAAAATATTATAATACACAGCACGTGCTCCGTCTTCTTCATCAGCATAAGTCTTCTTTGAAACTGGTCTAAATACAATCCTTTAAATAAAACTATCTTTGTTGGTTGCACATCACTGGGGAGTTAAATAAACAATAATATCCATAGAGTCCATCAAAGTGATTTCTTGCCTAAATTAGCATTGAGGTGGTACACATCTCTTGTTTACAGCTGAGCCAGTGATGCACCTTTCACATTCCTATTATGGGGGTGAGTCTATCCAAATTATAATCATTGGTGACCTCCCCACTAAGTGTTTCTTCGTTTATCGACACAAGATGGATAATGGGTTGAATCAACCCCTCAACTAATATTTGAACTCTTGACTTTCCAATTAATTGCCATCATTCAATCTACATGGGTGATAAAATATACGTACAAATGTGACATTATTTTGAGATCATATGTTTAAAAGACAGCGATGAGCATTTATGGTGTCACCTTTGTTAAACGTGAATGCAGCTCAGGTGACTTATCTGCTAATCGATAGTATTTTCGCATACAAGCCTGGAAAATAGAACCCTTTCTATGGAACAAAAATCAACTGTGAAACACGATGAGAACTTTGTCTTAACAAAGTCGAAGCTTAAAACAGAGTGTAAAGAAAGGTTACTGTCTTTAGAATCCCATATTCTAAACCATCTATTCACCATGGGAAACTGCATACACTTACACGTTACAAAAAACATGCAAATCTTACCTTAACAAACTTGCCATTTATTTCTGGATACTCCCCCACTTTTCTGTTATCCAGCATGCGTATCTCATAAGACTGGCCTGTTGCGGGGAACACGTTTCAACATACCAAAGTGAGCTATTGCATACACCATCCTGATTGATGACTCCACATCTTGGGCTGTTCACTTCTATCCAAAGTGATCTGGACTTAACTGGATATTTCCTGATGTGCATACCTAAAGTTTATTAAACTTGTTACATGCAAGATAGCCATCAGATGTCAGGGTGTCCTTTTTCAAACTATATGCCAGTTAAGAACCAATGCCTCAAACTAGTTTATGCGGAGGATTATGAGTCTTAAAAGAACCACTAAGAAACTGTGCAAGAACCTGGTTGATTCATATTTTAATTCTTACGGATAGTATACAGAATGGACTCGTGTGAACACATTTTTAAGACGTTGTAAATTTTATGTACGGGGCCTATGGTTTCCTAAGCGGTAATAACTGACATGCAATGATGGTCGTCAGATGACCAATGCCAAACAAGACCCACACGACTATACAATTACGAATAGAAAGTGTATTTCGTGCAATTTAACACCTTATAAAGTATCACGTAAATGTTTAATAACTCGACTTAGAAACGGAATATTTAATGTGTAACAGAGTCATACTGAATTGCTTAAAGAAACAACACAAACATTTATTAGAGTGTAGTCGTGTACCTAGCCTGTATGATCCAGATGTGTTAGTTGAATCTAAAGCTTCATGAAGACTTTTAAATAATGAAGCGTGTCATTTTGTCAATATAGTGACGTCACTGTGACATTAATGCCATACATTTTAACAAATGCTTTGAGATTAATATAGTACTATGATAGAGTGGCTGCCAATCGTTTGTAAGTCTTTACTTTAATAAGCCAAGGTCCATACTCATGTCAGACAGCCCCGAACATGTGGCATGGGGGAGTTAAAACAGGAGATATTTGTTTTTTTTTAAGTCAATTCTTCCTTTAAGCATTATCGTGCTTGGTGGTTATGGGATGTGCCAGTTACCTTGATTGAGGTAGGTTAGCGTTTCATCATGCAACTTGACGGCAGGGGATGTGGCAGCACACAGCACGTACTGGAATGGGGGTGGCTTGGAGTCGACCTCATTTGAAAGAGTCGAGTCCTCTTGTTTGAAGATAGGAAGTGCCAGCACATCACTACACAGAAAAAAGCCATGGTTATGACAAGTATTCATGAAACAAATATGGTAGGTGCACAGCAGCACAGAAAATACTGAACACCAATGAACCCTTTGAACACGTGACATTTAAGTGCAACTTGTATTGGTCTGGTTAATAAGGATTATGGTAATGGGACACAATGTGAAGCAACTTCATTCTTTTCATCTTGTGTGCGGTTGTGGAGATTTCATCAGGTGGACGATGAAGCTGAACCTGGGTTACAGGCAATAAAGCGAAACGAGACCTGCTAGCTTGCATGCCACCTTTTAATGCTGATACTATACAAATGCAGATATCTTTTGTCGAATACGCAGAAAAAGGCAAGTCATACTTTTCAAATTGGAAATAGTATATTCAACGTTTTGGTTTAACAAAAGGACTTAAACAAATATTTACTCTAAATCTATTTGCAAACATATATGGGGTTATAGGTGTTTTTAAACCCGATTGGTAAGATATGTCTCAAAAACTTTTCAAGGACATCCCGGCAGCCAAAGGCCACATTCCCGCCAACCCTGTTGAGATTGTATCATCCGAGTGTCGGTCAGGACAACAAAACCTTGCGGCCGACATCAGCTTAAACACGACAGAACAATCCCGCATAACAAAGCAATAACTATATATTCTTGGTTCTTTACCGAACGAACCAAGAATATTAATCCCTGCAGTCACGAAAGCTTTAAATCAAAGCAATAACTCTCAGAATTTGACAAGTAATCTCATTTAAGATGTAATGTATACGTGGAAGAGCGGTGGTGCCGTGGCTAGCATACGGTGGTTTGAACCCAGTGACCCGAGTATAATTCTCAACCATGACCAACATTATTGGTGAGTAATATCCGAATTGGTTCTAGGCTCTCTCTTCACACCGCAGTGACCGGAGTGAAGCATGATCAAACACGGTGTTCCTTATTTCAACAGTGGATTGACAAATGCCAGTACGTTAAGAATATCTACGCATTGGCCACAAACATCAACTGTATTATCTTAACTAATTGTCGGTTTAAAATGCTCTGCAGCATCTCCTGCGACATGTATTTATAGTGCATTTTTTTAAATATATAACCATTGATGGGATAAAATGAAGAATCAGTTTCCAACATTGTTTTTACCACTACACAAGCGTCTTTAATTAAACGTTAATCCACATGAAACTCGTGCAGGTATCTCAATTAAATCTAATCTATGGCTATATGTTCGGTAGCAGCTCCTGGCCATTTGTGTATCACTTGCTAAGCGCTGCTGCATGTCCTCCCAGAGCTGTACAGGTTTTTCCAGAGCCCTCTACATAAGAGGCACCGCGTGTACCCCACGCTCTGCTGCCTGTTACGGATGAGTGATGAAACTAATCTTACGTCTGTAGATCGCATTTCATGCTGAAAATATCCAGTCTCACGCCAGAGTAATTACCAATTGCATATTACATACTGCAACCCAAATACTCAAGAGGGCAATATGCAGACGTCTAAAATGTCATGAAATTGTGGGAACACACGAAATGTATGGCCATTTTTTTGAAGTTGTGTGTCATAGTATTGGATAAGAACTGCAGTTGATAAAAAAGCATTACTTTTATCAGTGATTGTTACAAAATTAACACCCATCAAGTCATTTAGTAAATAAATTAGACATCTGCAGTCAGATAAATCTCACTTTAGACAAAAGCTGAAGTATACGTTTGAGTAGACTTCACGCCGTCGTGTATAAAAGTGCTTTAGGTGAACTTAGCCCTGTCACGTGTGCTTAAGAGACTCAACTGCCAACTTTCCGTCACTAATTTTAGTTTTTAATATCCAGAGTTTTCTGGCATATCATTTGTTTTACTGCAAGTGCTGATGAGGCAGGGGATGCTGTACGTGTTTTTATCTGAACAAAGGCAATTATCCCCCACCACTGAAGCTGGCCATGGGAAGGGAGGCCTCATGCCTGACCCTGCTCCCTATAAATGGCCTCAGGGTACGGGGACACAACTAGGTGAGGGCGAAGGGACTGGTCGGTCTTCACGGGCCTAGTAGCACAAAAACAAAAAACACACCCAATCACAAGCCTAACACACAATATCCAGTCGTGCCACTAATCATACTGCCACAATACCAACTAAAACACCTAACAAGACGCAGCCACACACTCAAATAACATTTAAACAAGAATAATCATCCAAGTACAATGAGAGCAAACCGGGCACTCTTTCCAGGTGTTAAATCAAAGTCTCAATCTTTCCATCTCCTGCACATGCACAACCACATTTATATAACAGTTTTCACCATGTACATACACCAAATCCAACCACCGAACCAAATATCCCCCCCTCCCCCATTACACCACAAAAGCCATAGTCTGGCCACAAATCCACACAAATCAAATAACCACAACGGCCAAACAAGCATAGCAAAACGCAACTCTGCAACCACCATCACACACCCACAGACACATACATCAACACCGCACCACCATCTTACAAACCCAACCACACACAATAACCACACACGGGAAAGAAACGAGGGAGGGCCGCCTTGGCACTGTGCATTCCACATAAACACCAAGATAGAAGAAGCGATGGCCAACATATCCTTTATGCTATGCAGGCGTCTTGATGTAGGACTGGTAAATGTTTAATGGTTGGGATGTGGAAGCAGGCTATCGCTGGATTCATCTAAGTTCTACTGCTGGTGCTGGATATCTATTCTAAGGTACTGTAACGGGGCAGCCTCTCTGGCTACACGTGTTGAATGAAGACACTTCCATCTTGGCGTCTCTCGCTTCTCTTCCAACCCAAGAATGACCAACATGGTACCGTGCGACACACACACACAACACTGCGGTGACACCATGCGTCTTGCATCACTTGCGTGCAATTGCTACTGCAGTTTCTAAACCCGTTACTCCAGTGACACAAACGAGGAAGAAATGCACCAGCCCAACAAACGCAGAATACGACTCAAAAAACACATCGCGTCAACTTACAACTTCCGACACCCACAACATACACACACATCCAGCCACCAATCAGCAAACGCGCGAGAAACTAAAACAAGACGTCAATTTGGACGTAATTAAACACAAAACGACACGGGGAGGACAGCCTACATTCACCTACTCGTGTAGTGTACACGTAAGAGGAAGAGAGACAGAGGGGGATGCGACCGGCACGGCAACACAACCAATGGCTACTACTACTGTATTATGTAAGATGAGACAAAGCTTCCAGACAACAAAGGGCCTCTCACACACACACACAGGGACACACACACATGGAGACAAGACTGGGCTCTCTGTGTGAGCACCTCATGCTGTATGCGCCGGCCCCGAGCTCTTGTCCGATGCCCGAGAGACTGGCGTCGAAGTCATGAACCAGGCCCGACTCATCGGGGTCATCCAGCTTGAGTGACCACGACATGGCCACGGTGGATGGTGAGGAACGAATGTCGGGAGGGAGGTTGGTGTGAAGACGGCGAGCTGTCAAGGAAGTGCAGTATTGTGCTGCACCCGACTGCACCGCAGTAACACTGCGATCTAGTAGGTGGAGGTTCCACCACCAACTATATCAGCTACGAGAGGTCCAAACCTGGCAGGACTTTCACCACCGGGTCCAAACTAACGAGGTCCAGGAGCAGCAGCAGCAGTAGGACCACCACAAGATCCAACAACCACTACCACCACCACCAGGAGATCCAGCAGCAGCAGCAGGACCACCGCCAAGTAAGGTCCACCAGCAGCACCTTCAACCAACCAGGTCCAAAAGGAACCCCGGTCCTCCACCACCACCACTTTCACCACCACCACCACCCCGTCCGTCCGGGGGGAGCCTCTGAGCGACCTGGGGTCGACCACGAGCGTGAACCCCTAGGCGTTCGCCAAACGCGCCATGGCTGCGTCGTTAAGAGCAGACCGGGTGTGTGTGTGAAGAAGAAGAAGAGACGATGAGATGAAAGGAGGAGCTGATGATGAGATGTTGAGAGATGATGATGATGGGGGTGAGGTGAGGGGAGGGCAGCAGCGGAGGCCGCGCCGCCCGGGAGCGGAGCTGCCCGAGCTCCGGGCGATCGCGTTTCCCGGCGCCGACTAGGCGGAGCCGCGTCCCCTTTCCCTCTGCTGCTGCTCCTCCTCCTCCTCCCCCCCCCATCGGCCTCGTCATCTCCGTCGTCACGGCTCCTACCGGAGCCATTGGGGTGTGGGGGGCGGGTGGAGCGGCGCTCCCGGTCGTGACGACGGCTCGCCGGGGATGCGGCCGTGGAGGAGGGAGGCTGCGTCGCGGACATCTTGCGTAGGGGGAAGTTGGAGCCGCGACAATGCAAAATGAACGTTGCGAGGTGGAGGGTGGTGGGGCATTGGGCACCAATAGCCCCGCCGTTCGCCACCAAGTGACGGCGACGTCCCCACGTTGCCTGTGCCAGGCTGGGTGCACTTTGTGGCCGCGCGTGAAGTTGTCGAAGGCTCGCTGAGAGGGAGGTCTCGGGACAGACCCAGCAGGTGCCATGGGTTGGCTGGCTGAGATGACCGTGGCATCATGCACCACCGGCTGTGCCCCCTACTGTGCCAACGTTGGCTGTGTTTTATCCGCCCGGCGCCCCGCTCGTTGTTGTGAGCGTCGTTCATCTGCCCTCCGTTGTTGCTGGAGGGCGACTGCCTCCAGCTGCCCAGTAGCAGCATCGTCCTTCACGAGCCTTCTCCATAGAGCACACACACACACATTGAGCACACACCACGAGTTTTAATGTGTTGCGACGTTAATTTGCCCCGAGCTTTGACTAATGGATAGACCATAAGACTCGTAAATGATTAATTGAGGAGTTTGTTTTACTTCGGGGCCACTTGTTAATTCTGTTTCACGCAGAATTCATGATCACCATAGAGCGAGAGCGGAACATTCGAGACGAAGCAGGCTTTTCTTTGAATTTCGTGGCTAGATGCCACAGAAGGGGCCTTGAATGTGGGAGACACCTCTGTCGTTTGCAAAATAGTACGATAATAATGATGTATCAGTGTTGTCCACTGTGCAAAACAAAAGTCTCTTTTACACCATAGCTGGCTAAGTGAAAAATACAAGATAAATATCCCCACCCCATAATGCAAGTGTTGTTTGCTTGCGAGCACCCTACGAAGACCGGCACGGCACACGAGGGGGTGGGTGGCCAGCACCACGCCCGGCCGTCTTCGTCTCCCCCAAGTGGCGATGTTTACGACACGCCACACCAGGTACTCATGTGAGGCCGAGTCGACCTAGAGGAGACCCAGGACCGGTTCAGATAATCGTCACTGGTGGCGGTGAGCCAGAATCGAACTCAGGTGGCCGGGCCCGTAGTGCAGCGCGCTAACCACGCAACCACCGCTCCCCATGGTAAAATAATACATCTACCCCCCCTTACACAAGTCATTTGACTTCCACACGTCAAATTAAACTTTGTTTACACTGTACTATAATAGCAATCTATGCCCACTGTCTTATCTGCCGTGCTTGGTTAAAACGACCGAGGAGCAACGTTTTAGCACCAGTGCCAAGCAAAGGAAGCTCTGATTAGTGTGCGGGTAGTACGTGCAGTCATGGGACTGGTGTCTTCCTTGGTTGTTGTCGCTGAAAAACAACAATCGACATTCGCCACTAGCCGACGTCACCACGGCGCATGTGCCAGGCTAGGTGCACTTTGAGGCCAACGTGAAGTGTCGAAAGCTCGCTGCTGGCCGGAGGTCACGGGGGACAGACCGAGCAGGTGCCATGGGTTGACTGAATGAGACGAGTGCTAAGATGCAACCATCTGTGCCCCCCCCCCCTCCAATTGTGCTAACTTGCTGTTTGTGAGCCGTCGCTCCTTCTGTCCTCCGCTGTTGCTGGATGGAACAAACTAAAAAAAAACCTCCCAACTGCCCAGCAGTCCTTCACGAGCCTCCTCCACAGAGGCCGATCTTGACACCGCTCGGAAACCTGTGGAAATCAAGACAGGTCGCCCCCCACTCCCCTCTTGTAAGATGGCCAAAGGATGCCTCGCCGAGGGCCCCACTAAAATCGCGTGGGCCAGGAAGGGCCCCTTCCTTCTCTTGAGTGGCAGCAACCGTTGGGGTAGGAAAGGGGGCTTCCGAATCGCAGTGCTTGGCTGTTACATAACGTGGGGGCCCTCTAGGGGGGGTTAAGCTCTGTTTCTCTCCGGCAGTTGCCATAACGACTCGCCCAGATGTGTGTTTATGGACACGATGTGGTTTTTTTCTTCTTCTTTTAAACCGTAGGCTTAGGGAGTTACGCAAGAGTGATGACAAATCGCAACTGCGAATGGAAATTAACGACTGTACTGTGCAGGGAGTGATTGAAGAAGTTTAATTTAAGCTGAGACGATGAAAAAAAACAGGGGAAATTATCTAAATGAAACATTGGTTTGGTGATACTGCATTGGCACTGGTGCACAGGCACAAATATGAAAGTAAAACTCACATTCGTCAATAACACTGCCTTAAAAGAAAACTAACAGAAAAGGTGACGTTTCAAGTAATGTCCTTCACAGTACAGGAAGAAAGGCATCATGTACTGTGAAGAACATTGTCCGAAATGCCACATTGCATACAGTATAGATACTCTTCTTAAGTATCTATACAACAGGTTCGTTAATCAATTGAATATATATACTAGGGAAGCAGTCAAGGCGAAGTGATCAAAATGATGACTGTAAGAAGGGGTCGAAAACCTTTTGGAGCGCTCTTGAAAATGTTGAACGGAAATAATGGAAAGCAACATGCCATTGTTCCTAGAAAAGAATACCTGCTATGGTATAGCATACTCTTGAGAGTATTTGGCTGCTATACATTGCCACGTAAGCCACTTCGTTGTCATTTAGGGCCAGGTCGCTTCTGAAAAAGAGCTGAAGAGCTCACTGGGTCTTACGTGTAAACTAAACATACAGTACAACGAAACGGACATTATACTCTTTGGTTCTATTCGGTAAAGTCACGTAGGTAAAAAAATAAAACAAAAATCACGACGTTTCGGCCACAACATAAGTGGCCTTTATCAGGTGAAGGGGACCGTGCTGGCATTCCAACGCTGTCTTCGTGACAGCACGGTCCCCTTCACCTGATGAAGGCCACTTGTGTTGTGGCCGAAACGTCGTGATTTTTGTTGTTTTATTTTTTACCTACGTGACTTTACCGAATAGAACCAAAGAGTATGGATCCTCGCAGTCACGAAAGCTTCAAATTTAGAAACGGACATCACAATCGGAATATTTATTTATGCAGGAATCCGATGAGCTATGAAGCTCTTTTTCACAGATGTTCAGTCGGGGCGGGGCAGAACATCACAACAATATAAAAAAAAACACGGAGTGCAAAACATAGGAAAGGTAAACAATTTACTTTAAAAAAACATACGAATTAAATGTGTTTTTTTTTATTTTACCAGGTAAACGCCCAATGAGCTGTTAGCTTTTGTTTCAGACTCGTGCCTGACCACAAGCGATACGGGAACGGCGGTACTCGCACCTAACAAACACACCGAAGAATCGGCCCCCGTACTTTAACCCGCCGCAAATCGGAGGCGCCCTTTAAACGAGCAGCGACGATTCGGCACCCCACCCCACCCCCAGGACTCGCTCACTCGAACCCCACGCGAACCACAGCAGCAGGAGGAGGAGGAGGCATTGCTTCTGTCTGACGCGGCCCAAACACTGCCCCACCACACCCCGCGCTGGCGACCGGCGGTGAAAACCACAACCCCTGTCTGGTTTGTCCCACACTGATGACGCCTCCGGTGGGAGGGAGAGGGCCACGAACCGTAAACAGCGCGGAGCCGCTCTGCCGTGCGCCGTCGTTTTACCTAAATGCGTCTTCGTGTTGTTGTTCCTATTTAAGGCAGTGCCACTGACGAATGGCTTCGAGTTTCTAACTTCACCGTTCGACGAAGGGACGGGCGCGCAATCGGCTCAGCCCGCGCTCGGGTGCGCCGTCACTTGCCGTGGCCTAGCAAGAAACCCACTCCCCCCACCCACCACCTTTTGTGGTTATTCCTCCACCACTCTCCTGGCTCATCAACGCAGGCAAAGGACACGCGTACCCACGCGCCTGCATGCGCGACGTATTAATGTAGAACGTAAAGCCAGCCCCGTTGCTGGTCGGAGGGCGTCTAACTCGATGCGCCGGTGAGGCTTTTTGCGTGCTCGCCGTCCGAGTTCGGAGAAGCAGTTTAAAGGGGGTGAGTCTCGCCCGTCTCATGGTTGATCTCATAGGTTGTGTATATTGTATTATATTGTTGTTACAATTTTTATATTGAAGTCGCACTCGTGGCGTTCGCGTGTGTGTGTGTTGCGCGCGGTAGTGTAGCGGCTAGCGCGCTGCGGTGCGCTACGATACCCGGCCACCCGAGTTCGATTTCCGCTCACGGCCAACACCGACAATGATGATTATCTGTAACCCGACCATGGGGCCCTCCCCTAAGTCGACTCGGCCTCAAATGAGTGCCCGGTGCCATGTGTAAACATCGCCACTGGGGAGACGAAGGCGGCCGGGCGTGGTGCTGGCCACCCAACCCCATCGTGTGCCGTGCCGGCCTTCATAGGTGCCACTGGCCAACAGCACTCGCCCACAACAGCGTGTTAACGCTATATGCGGGGGCATCTGTTTTGTGCAAGTCTCGTAGCTCATGTTAGTCGTATCTGCCCGCATCTGTTTTTGGTCCACAGCCCTTTAGTAAATCCATTAGCTGGACGAAGGGTTTCTTCTCCACGTGCTTGTGGTACATGGGTAGTTGCGGGTTGTCTCGAATATTTGCCACTCTGGTCAGTGAGGTAGCCAATGTTCAGTTAATTTGATATCATTCTCCACTGAACTTAGCCGTGATCGAAAATCAAACTCGGGTGGCCAATATCTTATAGCGCTGCGCACACTGAAAAATAAACTAATAGCCGAGTGGGCTTTACCCGGTAAGAAAAAAACAGTTTGCGTGAGGAGGCATCCATTAGTAATAGGAATAGTGATACCTTTATATCTGGATGAGAGCTCATTGGGACAAATAATCGTTGAAGCCAGACTTACATTGCCTTGCTATTGCTGCAAGCATTTGTAATTGCATGTTGACTACACAGGAACGTTGAGTAACAACATTTTAATGGAGTCAGAGAAACGTGAATAACGTTGGTAAATAACGTGACTAAGCTTGTGTGTATTTTTATGAATTGCCATAGGAAGTGACCATATCCATTTGGAAAGTCCGCATGAAGCGTTTTGACATCACCATCTTTTACCGAATGGCTTCTAGAAGGTGGCATATCAGAACTACTTATGTTCGCCCTTCAATTGTCTCTTATTCTAAGCGTAGTGCACTTTTGTATATGATCTGCTGTTGAGGTGTTTGTCGTATTGTAATCAGAGTTTGATAGATGCCGCATTAGGGAAAAACACATTAAAGTCAGGATAATTTTTGTACAATCATTGAAGCTGAGACCATAAACTCGCTGGACCTGAGAGGCCCGTTTAAACATGGGTGGCTGCAACCCAAATTTGAGCTTAGCATCTCGGTAGTGCCAGCTCAGCAAAATAACTCTAGGTTCCTTTTTACAGGACACCATGGAAAGCCCCATCCGTACGTGGCGGGGGTCCTACTACCTGATATCCAACAAGCGTTGGGTGCCCGGACGCTTCTGCCTCCTGCCAGGGCGCCTATGCTTTTACGCGAACAAGGACAGCACGATGTTGTTCTCCACGCGCCTCGCCGATCTGTGCGAGATAAAGAAGACGACTGTAAGCTTGGTGTATAGTGCCCTGGCCTTGACACAAGTGGGCGGCGTTGCCTGCCACTGGCTGTCGGGGCTAGAGCCAAGCAGAGATGCTGTCTTCAACGTGCTCGAGCATTTCTGGAGGGAGGAGCTTCTCGGGGGTGGTTCCCAGGCCTCTGCTTCTTCCACAGCCCTGGGACAGCACCTGGTGGCCACAGCCACGGGCTCACAGCGCCGGCTGGAAGAAGCGGCGCAAGCTTTGCACCACCAAGGGCAGCAGCTGGACGGGATCGGGCAGAACCTGCAGAAGATGAACGCTGATCTCTGCATAGCTGATCGGCTTCTAACGCAGCTGGAGGGGCCCTCATTTTTCAGCCGTTGGACTAAAACTTCGGAGGATGGCAGCGAGCGGAAGCAGGTCCAGAAAGAAGCATCGGCTGGCCCGGGAGGAGGCCACCAGGATGCAGCCACAGGGCTCATAGTGCGTGTGCCTGTAATGTATTCGCGAGGCCGTGGCACGGAGTTCCATCATGGTCACCTGGCCGTGCTTTGCTCGGCACTGGAGGTCCAGGACGCGGCCGGAAGACAGGTGCACATATACCGGCGAAGTGACGTGGACGAGATCGAGGCACTCAGCCCTTACGAAGTCATTGTCAAGCAGCGGTTTATTGGGCAGCCTGATGTTGTTTTCCTACTGCTCTCTGCCAAGATAGCCAATACCATCCCTGTGCTGGAGCAGCAGTACCGGGAAAAGTTCTCTGCATATCCCACTTATCCCTGGGGTCCAGCACCTACTCACAAGAGGAAAACATCTGGACACAAGTTAATTCAAACAGGTTTGTGTGAAAACGACACATTCTGTCAGACACAACTGTCCATGTACCCAGACCAGATAATGTACTTGTTGATTCCAGCAGAAATATACTTGTTATATTATTTGCGTTATCACGTAATTTCATCATTTTTTTACCATATAAAGTAATCGATTACACTTATATTTTAGCATATCAGTGGTGCGAGTTTCTTCTCTGGGTGATGGACGAATACGCTACATACGCTTACATGATAATACAGTACAGTTTAATGTATTTGTTGGTCTTGGGGCACCGCGTGCTTAGCCTCATTGTGTCGTACCACTCTTCACCTTCATTGCAGCTGGCAGGTGGCTGGGTGGCCTCATGGGTGGTGATGACGAAGCCTCAGAAGCTGAAGGAAAAGTTCAGGTGCAGAAAGGGCAGACAGTGAGTGATGCGGAATCAGCCCAGCTGAATCAGGTAAACACGTGAGACACCTATTAACCCGCTCTCATAAACCCGTGTTATGGCAAAGTGCTGCCCCTAATGTGTATGTTAAAGGTCCCTTGAATAAATTTCAGAAGCAGTCCTGTGACTTCTTATTCAAAGGATGTTTTATGCATTTAACAGACAGTAATGTCGTTCATATTCTTGGTTATTTCGGTAAAGTCACGTAGAAGGGAAACAATAAAATACGTGACTTTACTGAAAGAACCAAGAATATGAATCCCTGCAGTCACGAAAGCTTTAAATCAAAAGTAATGTCGTTTGTAACCTTGATTTAGTTATACACAAAAACCTTGTTCATCGCGGAATTTCACATTGTGGATTTGACCTTTCGCACCAAATTTATTGAGGTGCAGTTTGCCAATTCTGCCCCGATGGCTCAACCATTTGCGGCTGTTCACAAGTTTCCTATAGTGTGCATCGTAAATAAGTGCTGTACTAACTTCCCTCTGCTCGCGATCCCGCGTAAGAATTCACACGCCATAATCATCATTCATAGTAAGTATTTTTTGTCAAGTAATATTGACTATACATGTCATTAACCTTAACTTTATATTCGGATTTACTTTAACGTGTACAGTACATTATGGTACATTATATTAAAACAAATAATTCTAGACATTTACTGTGCAAGTTATATTTAACACGGGAGAATATTAATCATACTTCATTATAACTGTGAACCAAACCCTATTTTTCTCATATGCCTTTGAGTTTGCGGATCGTGGATTTACAGATTGCGGCTATTTGCAAGAATGTAACCCTCGCGATAGCCAAAATTTTGGTGTAAAATGTTAAATTACAAATGAAGGGTGTGCCATTGTATTCACATTAACAGTCGGAGTGGCTCATCTCACGAACATTTTGAGAGGGTGTAAGGCGTTTTGAATGAAATTCTAAATGTATTCTAGATTTGAAGCTTTCGTGACTGCTAGGATCCATACTCTTTGGTTCTATTCGGTAAAGTCACGTAGGTAAAAATAAAATAACAAAAAATCACGACGTTTCGGCCACAACACAAGTGGCCTTCATCAGGTGAAGGGACCGGACTGTCCAGAGGACAGCGTTGGAGTGAAGACAGCCAAGCCCAGGTCACGTCCTTTAAGCTGTGTGGGAGGACGCGACCTGGGCTTGGCTGTCTTTACTCCAACGCTGTCCTCTGGACAGTCCGGTCCCTTCACCTGATGAAGGCCACTTGTGTTGTGGCCGAAACGTCGTGAATTTTTGTTATTTTATTTTTACCTATGTGACTTTACCGAATAGAACTAAAGAGTATTCTAAATGTAGCCAATGACGGTGATTGACATCCTCAACTCGGCTGCGCCAGGTGCTGACAGGCATAAAGGTACTGGCACTTGAGTCGGGCGCTGAGGTGGAGCGGCAGAATGAACTTCTGGAGGACACGAGCTCGCTGGTGGACCGCACCACCTCGCGCATCAATGCAGCGGATCGCCGAATCAAGAAGCTACTGTGAAAGGATACGCTACATGGCCGATTTCTTTGTTTCATCATCGGCATCATTTGAATATTTCACGTGATTTGTTGCTCCAGTAAAGATTCTCCATACTTGCGAAAAATCCTGTGTTTTTTAATGACGTCCTTTTTTAAAAGATGCCGTCTCACCATTTTTTGGTGCTGTGTAGAATTACTGAACGGTTTAAGGATTGGTATTTAACTTTTGCACTTTGAAAAGTATTATTTACTTAAATTCAGGAGACTTAAAGTTATCAGGTAGCATAGTTCAATGGGGTTTGTTTGTGTCTCTCGTAACGTAACCACATATATGGTCGTTGTGTGGCCTGGTAATATGTGTGTTGCTTCTTTCAAACCCACTTAAATTGATGATGCTATGATAGCACTATAGGGCTAATATTCATTGAGTGATAAAACTGCCAAAATACATTCCCTTGGTGCTTTTCCAATATTGCTGGATTTATTCTCCAACACACCAGTTGGCTGAAGTAGCAACTAATTTGCATTTTGTTTACGTCACAAATCCCTTACTAATTGGCTGTGTCGGGTGGTGGAGGGTTATGACACATTTATACTTACGCGATCTAACCCAAAAACCTTCATTGTGAATTGCTGTTTATGTGACCATGGGCACATGAAGCAAACTAATGAACGAAAATGATTTCAGCAACAAGTGAATCAGGCCTATATTTATTATCGTCAATATTTTTTTTACCGTCAAAAGTTAACAGGAGTAACGATGCATACATTTTGAAGATCGCTATATTAATCGAATCGTGCATATAAGTGTTTTTGTATTACTATATGGGTTCATGTGACCCCCTCCAACCATTATATTCTGCAACATTCACCACATTGTTAACATTTATTTTTTGAGATAGTGGAGTGGTTCAGGTGGCCCTGCTGAGTTTCTGGGTTTGAATCTGGGCAGCCAGTCATAGGTTGATGGTCTCAGTCTGGCTATATAATGACTGCACTAATGAAACACATTTTAGTTGGTTTTGCCCTTCATTTGGGCTAACATCTAGTCCTGAAAATGAAATAATATCAGCTCTAATCTCATGCAATGTAAACACTATGTAACACAATTTTTGTTCCTGGGTAGTAAGTGTTATTTCGTAATTGCTTTTGCCTAAAAAGTATAGAAAATGGCTATTATTCTCCACAAACTTTGCTTTTGTGACCAGGACAGTGATATTTTGAAATTTATTTATTTTCAATGAGAAAACGGGTGAATTTGTGTCTTTTCGTTAACATAAAGTCAGAAAAAACAACATGAATTAAATTTAACATGTAATTATACTAAAGTAATACAAAAATGACTACAAAAGATTTAGGAGTAGTTATTCGAGATTGTTCCTCCCCACAGAGAACTCGGTCCGCTGTGGCCAGTCCCGCCTGTGGTAGTGCGCCTTGGTGTCTAAATAATTTGTAGTCATTTTATGTATTTAGTATAAATATATGTTAATTTTGATTCATATGTTTTTTTATGACTTTGTGAACGAAAAGACACGAATTTGTCCGTTTTCTCACTGAAAATAGGTAAATTTCAAAATATCACTGTCCTGGTCACAAAAGCAGAGTATGTGGGGAATAATAGCCATTTTCTGTACTTTTGAGGCATAAGCAATTAGGAAATAACACTTACTACCCAGGAACAAACAAAAATGTTACACTTAATTTCGCTCAGGCAAGGCAGATGGGAAAGTGCTGCCCTCTAGTGTAGCTACGAGGTAACTTAAGAGATTTCAAGAGCAGTTCACGGTCATTTGTTTTTACGTGTTTATTAAAATCTACAAGAGTTTGAATGGATCTCCATCGCATGACATGATGCCTATAGTACAATGGGGATAAAATTGAGCCAACAAACATGTATTTCAAAACCTGAATATAATTAAATCTTGTATCGTAAGCGATCGTAATTATACGCCGAACACATTATTGGAGATATTGGCTTTTAAATAAGATCAAAAACTTCATAACCTTGAAATGTTACAAAATCTAACTGCCGCTAGCCCGGATACGAACTGCAAGGTCCTTCGCCACGCAAATTGAGTCCCCGTGTTCCCGTGACTCCTCCACACCTAAGCACGACGAGGGGGCGCTAGAGGTTAAGAAAACGGTGCCCTCAGCATCGTCGTGCATGCCATCGTCGTGAACTGAACGTGTACAGTACCAGTATTCATTTACTGTATAAGCAAACAAGTCTTGTAACCATGTTAGAGCATGTCATTGGTCGACAATACTATGTAAAAAATGAAATGTGTATTCATGCGTATGTGAATGACATCTGTTTTATATCCTGAGCTAAACTTAAAAATCCCTGTCCATATATGTATTGATCAGAGGTGTAATTATTTAAGCTGACGGTGCAATGTGACATGCGTTTGTATTTTAAATACAGGTTCAGCATTGATGCAAACTATCCTTTGGAATTAAAACCTTCAATTTAATGCAAAAATGGAGTTAACTAATCTTGAATTTGTAAGAAGTTGCGGTGATTATAAATGTCATGGGTGACAGGTAAGGCACTGCCCATGATGATCGGTAAAAAATGTGAAAATGGTGCAGTGGAAACACAAAAGAAATACCATTTAATTTAATACACTGTAATGCCTTGTCATTTATATTATGTATTCCATTTGCAAGTGTTTTATTTCCAAATAAATTTTACATTGTGTGATAGTTTGGATTTTGTTATCACTAAGGCTAGCTGTGTTAACCTGTGGCATCCAGAATGAGTTCATATTCAAGCATGGGGTTAACTTAATAGATTATTCCATTAGGGTCAATACAAATACAAACCACTCAGTGTGAAACGTACACTGGTTTTCTTCATTTGTCTTTTTGACTTTCCCAAATGTTTTTATCTCAATTGTGCTATCGTCATGCGGAGATGAATAATCAATTTTAATCTCGCCTACTGACGGACCAATCCTCGATTGCAGGTCACGTGCTGAGTTTGGGCCCACAGCTACATGTGGCACTGGGGGTACCCTTTCAAATATGTTGAGATGAGATGTAAAGCGCTCTAGGATGCCCCGGTGTTATAGGGTGGTATATGAAAGACATCGCTATCATCTTTAAGAGCAGCAGCACCCTTTGAAGTGAGAGAATGTCCTACAGAAGTGGATACAATATCTTTAAACCACTCGCAATCTGACAAGTTCCACTATTGAAACATTACCAGGTAGTTGCTTACAAACGTGACCACGTGACTGTGCATGTATACAGGTTCTTACTTTTTTTGCACTGCTCAAGTCTCAGGGAGAAACTGACAAAGTGAATGTGTATGGTGAGCAAACGAGCTAGTTGCTTAATAAGTAGATGTCAGTGTTTTCGCAACGACTTATTTCTGCTAAAAGACAACTACATAGTGTTTCCAATCGACTCCACCTCCCCTGTGGTGGACGTGTCCACAGAATGCCTGCAGGGACAACGGGAGATCGTGAGCCGAGAAAATTAAATGCGACTTGGCCGGGCGTTGACAAATAATAGCCTATGTAAAAAGAATTTAACTGGCGGTAGTCAAAGCACTTGGGTTTTGAGCCTCGGGCCTCCCAAACATTAGTTTGGGGCTACTGCTGTTGACACTGATAAAGGGTGGTGACTACATCAATGTCACTGCTCAGTGAATGGGAGGTCTTTTAAAATGTTAAAATAAAATGTTACAGCATTGCATTTATTAAAATGCACGCACCTCACGTATGGTGCATGCTTTCTTGAGACATCTCGTCAGTTTGCTGTGAAAGTGTGATCATTGACAATGTCAGATGCCATCAAATTATCCTGCCAAGGGGGGCCAGGTTCCAGCATTTCATGCTTCGGCAAATTATTAAATAATAAGCAATGTAATGAAGCAACTTCACCTGTATTTGATGAACACTGACAATGCTGTACACCTTTGCGACGTTAGCTCTATACAACTCTTGCCTTGATTCCATCCAGGTGTGTCCAATCTCATCTTCCCAGGTCTCTCGCCTCACTACAGCTCCACCTTCGCAACCAGCATCGCTCCACGTGATCTCTCCCCACGTCTCCATTCCCCGTGCACAGAGCTCGCCAGCCATATCAGATCTCTTCCTCCCAAGATCTCCCCATCACGAACACGCATTCCTCTAATGTACCTTTCACAAATTCTTTGTTACCCCATTTCTTCTCCAAATAATTATTAATTCCTGATGAACCAACAACCTCTCAGTTAAGTTGTTCGTTGACAATTCTTAGTAATTCCTGTTCGCCAGACGAGTCAGCAATACATTTGCCTCCATGATGCCTGATACAAAATGTGTATTTGTTTCAAAATCCATATCGGCCAATTAACTAGTGATAAATCGCTACTATTTGAAAGGGTAACACAGTTGTTAGATCCCTAACTCACGATCAGGAGGGTACGAGTTAAACTCCTGGTCGTTAGTCTACTCAGTACTGTACTGTACTTCATCTACCCAGGTTGGATAACATTTGCACCATTGTGAGAGATTTCACCGGTGATAAAGATAGTTCCACTCGTCATGGGAGTGTTTGGCGTTCCCTCCAGGAAAGGTACGTGTGGGCAGAAAAGGACCCTGTGAGTTTGATTTGTCTTTGAGTGTATTGTCCCCTTTATAGTTATTATCTTCAATTTATTGGGGATTAGAATCACGAGATAAGGTAAAAAATGTACACATTAGTGACTTCTGCACAGAAAAATATGCGATTGTGACAACTGGATCGGTCCTCCTGCCGTGGTGCACTCAGCCTTGTTTAAGTCGTTGGATTCGTGTTAACTGTTTTCTCTACCTCGCGATGTAGCAGATGCATTTAATCATCATTGACATTCCAGCACCATAATAGTCACAGCACCATCATTCCACCAGTATATTTGCATCATCGTGATCTTCATTCCTATCTTAACAGGCCCATCATGCCCGAATCGTAGCAGTGTCGGCATAATCACCAATCATATAACATGGTCACAGCGCCACCATCATCCCAGCAATGTCACAACGACACCACCCATCTCAGCCAGCGCCATCCCTCCAGCGCCACCATCAAAGGCCCGACCAGGCAACTGCCGCAGTGCCGAGCCTCGCGCCACGGACGCGCGCGCGCGCGACATCCGCCGAGTCGGATGTTGTGGTGGTGACGCTGGAGGATATTTTTGCACGATAGCCGAGTCGTTGGCAAAGCATTCCGGCTGCTTGCTTGCTTGCTAGCTGCTGCTGTTGTCACACGCCGTGAACCGCGGCCGAAGAGCACGCGAGATGGGGCGAGGGCGAGGGTTAGGGTGTGTGGGGGGGGGGGAACGACAACAACTGGCACCGGCAAACACCATCGCTGCCGAAGGCAACCAAACCCCACCATTTGGCCGTGACAATCCCGGTGGTTTCAGGAAGGTTGTCCCCGTGTCTTACCACCCAAAGGACTTTCTAGAAATTTAGATTTTTGTTTGTTTGTTATGGAATGTGTTAGTCGACATGCGGGCGCTGAACGGTTGGCGACGTTTGGTCAATTTCACTTACTGGAGTGTCTTACGCGTGGGAGGAAACCGGAGCACCCAGAGAAGAGTTGTAACATTATCCTTTATGTTATGAGACGGCTATACATTGCAGTTGTGTGTTGTTGCTGTAATTACGACAAATTATAATTGATAGTCTTGCGTCGATAAAAAAGACACGTGTTACGGGATAACGCGTAAGGTTCATTGCAGATGGGCTCACGAACTCACTTGCTCTACCATCACTTGCTTGACACCTGGCAGTCCAGGGGGTTTGGAAGCGTCGCACATCCACGTGATCCACTTACTTTTAAATGTAACGATCATTCGATTAAAATCGATTCTTACGTCTGCGAGACGTGCATTGAATCGTGCGCATAACAATCAATGATGTTATGTTTATTAAATGTTTGAACGAAGTCGGTAGCTTGGTGGGTGGGGAATATAGGTGCCTTCATCTAGCAGTGGATTGACCTTTGCTGCTACTGATGATGATAATAATTTTACGTCAATCGAACACAACTGTTTCTTTGAGAAACGGGACAGAACAACGGAGCAACGAGACAAATGAAAACAAAGCGGTGTAATCGACTCGTACAATCGAATTGTGAACTCGATCAATCATCACCCCTATGGGCAGCAAACGCACTGGGGGCTCAGACCATGAATGAGGCTTGAACCGAGGCTCCTCGCCCAGCTTCCACCCCCAGCCT